AATTATTTCTGAAAGTATCAAATACTTGGAGTCGACCAAAAAAAAACAAAAGAAATTAAGTTGCTATCACAGTTTGAACAATTTTATATACTACTTTTTGAAATGCCTTTCTTTTATGCATGAACTTTATGAAATACTGTAGCTAAAAATGAATTATGCATGCATATATCACTGTCTCATAAGTGGTATGAAAATGAACCATGCTGAATTGATTACTCTTTTGGTCCTATTTGTAAGGTAGAGAGAAAATATTTTTTTAGTTCTATTTATAAATCACTTCATTAAATTTCCAACACAAAGTAAAGAAAATATATTGTTAAAGTATATATATTTAATAAAAAAAATTTAGAACTTATTAAATTTTAAGACAAAATTAATGAGTTATAATGTTTTTTTCTTGATTCTGATGAAAAATGTTGAAAGTAGCTTACAAATAGGACGAAAGTAATGAGAATATATAATTTAATTCAAATGTCTAAAGTAATGACAATATATAATGAATTAAATAATATCAGTATATATTAATTCAAAACCAATAGGTGTTATTTCTAATTAAAATGACTAGCTAGGTCCCCTTAAACAATATAATTGACTTGGATTCAAGCCTGTGTGTATATGCCTATATATATATATATATATATATATATCAGGAGTCATCTAATTTGAGCATGAATATGGAAACGTGAGTCCACAGGCTTGGCAATAGGTTCATGTTCTACAAACATTATGGTGACGCCAAAAAAAAAAGGGGGGGGGACATAACTATTATTACCATTTTTTTTTTGTTCCAAGTCCCTCTATTTTTTTCCTGTATGCAATCCTCTACTTTTAAATATTTTCACAGGGACAATGGTGTGACATTAATAATGTTAAATATCTGATATGGTGTTAAATATTATGTTGAAGGTTAAAATACGGATGAAATAGTAATTTAATAAGCAAATTAAAAAAGGAAGGGCAGATACTTAAACGACAAAAGTATCATGCACAGAACCTATAGGTTGTTCAATTTGGTTAAAAATAGGGCATTTGTCGAATGAAGGTGAAAGACTTGACCCCTTGATGATTGTGAATCACTTTTAGTTATTATAGATCAGATAATTTAATATTATTAATATTATATCATTATCCTTTTGAGAATATCTAAAAATAAAGAACTATTTTACATATGAAAAAAAACTAAACGTTCTAAAATACATACATATATATATATATATATATTAATAATAAAATAAAATAAAATTATAGAGATTAATAATAATTATGTTTTTTCAATAAATAAATATCTTTGAAATTGATCTTCTCTGCTCCCAAAAGCAGAGGCTGCTAAAACAATGGACAGACACAATAGTCTAGTTAGGCTTGATGTCGAATTAGCGTGGTTAAAAAGTCCTAGTCATCACTAGTGCCTATAACTCGTGGGGTCCCTGTAATATATATGAAGCTTCGATGTCGATGTTTTTGTCGCCTTTCTTCTTCTTCTTCAATCTATCTCAAGTGATGTAGATCCTAACATTATTGTTGGAATCTGTATACAAATGTGATGAACAAATTAATCAAAGTCTTGGAATAATAATCACCTTAATATTCTCTCAACTTTTCTTTCTTTTTTGACATGTTCGAATCCTGTACAACGACTTCTTCATTTTAATTCTTTGTTCCTGCAATTTTTGACAACCAAGAAAGTTATACGTCGGAAAAAACACAAAGAATATAGAAATAAAGTCATGCATGTATTTAGCTTGCCATACCTTTCTCAATGCTTAATTTATTCCTTATTTGTGTGGATATTTTAGACTCCACAATGACAGTCCTTCTATTGATTTTTGTGACTGGCAAAATTACTCTCTCTCTCTCTCTCTCTCTCTCCCTCTCTCTCTCTCTGCGCACGCACCTGAAAATAAAAAAGTAATGATTTTTATATATTAGAAGGGTTTGAACCCTCCTACTCCCTCTATTTTTATTATGAGTGTTTTTTTAAAAATTTATTTTTTTCTAAATATAAGATATGATAATGTTTTTTTAGTGATTAGATAATTTTATCCTTGTATTAAAAAATAGAATATATCATTAAATGTATATTTTTCTTATCACTATCATGATATTAATTATGATATTATTAAGGGTAAAATTAAAAAATTATTATGTTTTATGTGAGTTTAACTAAATAACAAACTTTTATTGACATGTAAATTTAATTAAAAATACTTATATATAAGGATTGAGGGAGTATATATTTATTTTTGGTGACACCCTTTCCACTTGAGATAGCTTTTAGATGACTTGAGACAAATTTTTGGTGTTATTAATTATTTCATAACCCAAGGTTAATTAAATTTAAGCATTACCAATGTTTAAATAAAAGCAACTCTTCAAACATAATTTTTTTCACCATAAAATTTCATTCTTGACCTTGCTAAAGGGTTTAGATTACTACTTTCACTATCCATTCAACACATCCATAGGTTACAATATATATATATATATATATATAACACTCACTATACAGTATCATTAAAAAAATATAATGTTTTAATTTTTGATTGAAAGATATTTTTATTCTTACCTCATTAGTTTTCATTGTACACTTACATTACCAGAAAAAGTATCATAAAAAATGATACCTTTATAAAACACCAACATTTTACGTTTTCTGCTCAGAATTTTGTTTAGCTTTAGCACACCTGAAAAGATCAACACCAAGATTGCGTGATATTTATCAAGAATGATATTAGCTAAGAATTTTTCTGATATTAAACACTTCAATGGTCACTAAATGATCCAAACAATATACCAGGAATAATTAACTAAGACCCAATAAATTATATTTTCAAAACATTAATGCATTTAAAAATATTTGACACAATCAAAACTTCAAATAACTTCTATAATTCAACATACGCTATTGGCTGTTTGAATATATGATATGCTACTCCGACTAGTCTTAATTATACGGTAAAATTAATCAGCTTCGTAATTTTCTTAGGCGTGATAATTAATATACTTAAGTTTAAAAAAAATGTATGACTTTTAAATTTTTCTCCTTCACTGAAATTATCACAATAAGGTTTATCTAAAAATTAAGAGTTCGCCAATAATTAAATTGGCACAATTAATAAGGGATAATATAATATTGAAAAAAATGAATTAACTATTACATCTTTGTCCTCTATTTAGAACTAAATAAAATTTTAAAATTTTTTCTATAATTAGAAAAGAGGAGTGTCATGTAAAATTGAAAACAATGAGTTTTTGTAATTTTTTTTGGGTCCTAAGAATAATTATTGCTGTCTAGAGTAAGGAGAAAAAAGACTAATCTAAGACAATAATAAGGTATATTCATTCCTCTTTCTAGCAACAAGCTAAACTAAAGGATGTGAGCGAAACTCGCAAATGGTCTCAAAATACTCGAAATGTTTAAAAAAAAAAAAAAGGTCGCAAAATAATCATTACTTGCAATTTTAAAATAAATAATTACTTATTTATTTTTATGGCACTCTAGGTTCCTAATCCCGAGAGTCTTCTCTCCGCCACCAACTTTTTCACTCCACTTCAACAATAAATATTATTGGAGAAAATATGAGAGACTGGCAGAGAGTGAGACCCCTCCACCATCTTAAACATCACCGAAGAGCTATAACTTTAATCATTATCCATTTTTAATCCCTCAAACCAAATTCCAATGAAGTCTCAGTTCTTAAGCTTAATCATTTCTATGTAGATATAACCCTCACACTTACCGGCAAAACGTTCCCATCATTGTGTCAGCTCCATACCAAAAATTCAACACTACAGTAGTTACTTTTCATCACTACGAATTCAACCTTCATTTTTATCAGTGCAGGCTCATCTTTATGAAGCATGCATTCACATTCTAACAATGGAGCATTTCATTTTCATGTCAACCAACGTTGAATTTCATGTCAGATTTTATTTAGGTACACGGGAAAATCAGTTCACTTACGGCACCTGATTAGTGGGAAATTTCTGTATCAAATTAAAGCATATTAGCAGTAACATATAATAAAGTGATCGATCAAATCAAGCGATGTGGTTTTTCAGTGGTAACCATTCAATATTCTCTTTCAGCACAAGAAACGCAGACACGAGGAAAAATAAAAGTATAAAAAATTGAAAAGGAAGATTCTGCAAGTTTCCTACATTGAAGGTGGTCTTAACTCTTCACACATGTGATTATAGAAAGCTTGGTGGCCATTGATTTTGTGCAGTAAGAGGTATATTAGGGGGAATACCACATCTTAACCCATAAATGAGAAATTCGTTGGTTCTTTAATTCAACTCAACTTCCTATCTCTCCCCATTTTTGGCAAGCAACTCACATATGCAGATTCCTGGTAAATAACTAAACTAGTATTAAAATCAAGTTAACCCGGACAGTTGGAAGAAGTGATTATGATTATTGAATTAATATCTTGATATATAAGTTCAATAAAAAATTTTGTTTATGACCGATATAATCATGGTGTGGCTATGATTTTGTCTATTAACATTTGATTTGTGCCTTGACCTCATTTGATGATTGGTCTAATTTTCCATGACCGGTTGAAGAAATTGTAAACCACTGAATTAGTATATTAACTGGTTCAATAAAATACTATAATTTGAGTTTAACCAACTTTCAATTATGATTTTGTTTCATTAACATTTAAATTAATGTCTTACTTGTTTCAATAATAATTAGTTTAGTTTTCAAGGACCGATTTAAGAACTAGTAAATTATTAAATTAGTGCCTAGCTTGAGTGTAGTAAAATATTTTATTTATAATTAGTCTAATCATAATTTCAATATATTTTTCTTTGTTAACCTTTTAACCCGTAGCTTGATCAATTTATGATCCATCAGATTTTCATTACTTTTACTGAAGTAATTGTACAATAAGTGGCAACTTGGCAAGCGACCACTTGGAGGAGGTGGGGCTCACTTGTTCATCATCATTACGTCAAAACATTACCCTGGGTACGCCTCAACCGCTACTATACTTAAATTATATAACCTTCATTCAGTTCACTCGAGAATTCAAGGGGGCTATTCTGTGTTTCTCTTTGCTCTGCTGCTAGCCAACTGCTCTCTCCAGCTTAGCAAAAATGGTCTCAGCTTCTTCTCCCCCTTCCAAGGTAATTCTGTCCGTAGAGTTCATACTGTGTCTGTGCTTTTGTTTTCTGGGTTTGGTATCTCTCATGCTCTGATTCTTGTTGCAGGAAGTTAATTCAAACGCGAAATGGACAGAAAATGGATCTTCCCGAAATGCCAAATGGTGGTACTCAACCTTTCACACCGTCACGGCCATGATAGGCGCCGGAGTTCTAAGCCTACCTTATGCCATGGCATATTTGGGATGGTACATATAGAGAAGTTCAATAATGCATTATCTCTGCCGCACATCAAAAAGTTCACAGCTTTCAACATTAATACTCCAAAACTTACATGCTTTTGATTTTCAGGGGACCAGGGACGATGTTGTTGCTGTTATCTTGGTGCCTGACCTTGAACACAATGTGGCAAATGATCCAGCTCCACGAGTGTGTTCAGGGGACCCGGTTCGACCGCTATATTGATCTGGGTCGACATGCTTTCGGGCCAAAGCTCGGACCCTGGATTGTGCTGCCTCAGCAATTAATTGTGCAAGTTGGGTGTGATATTGTGTATATGGTCACTGGGGGGAAATGCCTCAAGAAGTTCGTGGAGATAGCTTGTACTAATTGCACACAGATCAAGCAATCATACTGGATCCTCATCTTCGGTGGCCTCCATTTCTTCCTTTCTCAGCTTCCCAATTTCAACTCTGTTGCTTGTGTTTCTTTAGCAGCAGCTATCATGTCTCTATGGTACGGACCTCTGAATCCTCATATCTCGTCTTATTACTTCAAATTATAATTCTTTTATTACTATTATCCTTTTAGTGTTACTATTTGATTAGGTTAGATTTGAGCCACTTTTCTAAAGATGTTTTTTGTATTCACACGGACTCGAATTTGAGATACTGTGCTTTTGCTGCCATAATGCCCTCCTATTAGGACCTGCGACTGCTTTAAATTATAAGTCAACGTTATATTTTGTCATTTGACCTTTAAATCAATACCTTAACTGGTTCAATTATTGGTTTGTTTTTTAATGACTAATTCAAGAATGGGTAAATCATTGAATTAATACCCTGAATGGTTCAACGAAATAATTTGCTAAGGACTGGTCTAATTATAGTTTGACTATGATTTTATTCATTAATCTTTGAATCAGTGTCTTAATCGGTTTAATGATTTACTTGATTAGAATATTGTTGAGCCTAATTGAGAGTAATTTTCGCAAAGAAGTTTTTCATATTCACACGAACTCAAACTTAAACTCAAAGTCCCGTACTTAAAACATCTAGAGTCAATCCTACCAGGACCATCGCCTGTTGATTATTATTATTTTTCCAGCGGTGGCTGCTGCTTTAAATTATAAGTCAACACTATATTTTGTGTTGTATTGCACTGTAGTGTAGCGGAGTGTCTCGGGAGGGGTCTATACTTTTCTTGCACACTAGCTTTATGGGTCCTGGATGCTTTCTGAGCTAGCTTGACACTTTAAATCCGTTAAAGATCACAAGAAAGTTGTAGTTTGGAATCTTTGGAGATAAAAAGAGGTAACCCATGTGAGAAATATTTGAAGACAGGTCGGCAGAATTCTATAGAATTCTGGTTGGTTGTCTACTCCAAGTTGCTCAGGTATCAGTGAATTACTTCTTTTCTTTTCTTGTCTTTTTTAATGGGGGAATGTTAGGAAGGTGTTTGTGTGTTCGATTCTGAGAAGTTGAAATAAAAAACAGGGCCATATCTCTTAGAGCCCAGGTTAGTATAGTACCATTGGAGAAGTCTTCTGCTTGAACCTGGGCTGCATTAATTGTAGGCAACAATTACTAGAAATTCCACTTTTTGGTTAGGCCTGAGCAATGACCAATCTGGTCTAGTAAAAAATCGAATGCAAGATTATAATATATTCACTCAAAAGGTGACCAATAAAGATTGACTTAGTTAGTAAGAATTTAACTTATAACCCACAAGGTCATGATGAGTTAAATCTTATTATTGATATGAGGACCTTATTGATAGGCAATCTATAAGTATTTCTGTAAGTGTTCTTTAAACTATCTTGGTAAGCCTTTGGGGTCCAACTCATCTAAAGTTCCATAAAAAAAAAAAAAAATTCACTCAAAGGGTTTAATCCAATTTGGTAAAACGAGTTCAAATTTTCCAGGAACATATAGAAATATCCTTGAATGACCATGAATTCATGAGAAGACTAGAGCTTACTATATGCTGTTGGGGTTGTGTTGTTGTGATTGTAGCTATTCAACAATCTCGTGGGTGGCATGCTTGACCAGAGGTCCAATAGAGAATGTGAGCTATGCGTACAAGAAGACAAGCTCAACGGATTTAATGTTCAGGGTATTCAATGCACTTGGTGAGATCTCATTTGCATTTGCAGGCCATGCAGTGGCACTTGAGATTCAGGCCACAATCCCATCAACCCCTGAGAGACCCTCAAAAGTACCCATGTGGAAGGGTGCTTTAGGAGCCTACTTCGTTAATGCCATCTGCTATTTCCCTGTGGCCCTTATAGGGTACTGGACTTTTGGGAGAGACGTTGAAGACAACATCCTTTTGTCTCTTGAAAAGCCTGCTTGGCTGATTGCTTCTGCTAATTTGATGGTCTTCGTTCATGTTGTTGGTAGCTACCAGGTATGTATATCTCTCCCCTCAAAATCAACAAGCTGCCACATATATATGATTGTTCTCGTCTGGTTTGATGGAGGAAAAGGGATTGGATTGTAGGTTTATGCTATGCCTGTGTTTGATCTGATAGAGAGGATGATGATCATGAGGTTCAGCTTCCGTCCAGGAATTGCACTTAGACTTGTTGCTCGATCTTCTTACGTAGGTGAGATATCAGAACCATTTATCTCATCACTGAATAACATTTTTCCCTTCTTGTGGAGGAGAAATTTTGTGTTACATTCAACAGTATAAGTATAATATGTATGTGTTCCGCGTACAGATTAAATATGAATCCTTTTATGCAAGTACACATTGTGTGCACTGGATGTTTTTGCTGTGAAGAGCACTGTAAATTGTGCTCTGTTCAAGTTTAACATTTGGGCTAGTAGATTTAGGTTCAAGTTCCATCAGTAAACTTACATATCTACCGACAAGAACATTAAGCATATAACTTACTTCCTTTATCTCGATATATAAGGTGTTTTTGATTGAATCTCATATACCAATAAAAGATTGTTATTTAATTGAAAACACATAAAATCATAACGATTTTTCAATTTTGCTTTTAATAATGTCACAATTAATATCATGGTGGTGGGCAAAGCACACAATTAATATATTTTCTCCTTTTCAAGACAATAAGCGCAAAATTGTCTAATCACTTAAAAATATCTAACACCCTTTATATTTAGAGATAAAACAAACTTTTAGAAAATACCTTATCTGTAGAGACGGAGGGAATAGTTGGTAAAGGGTTGTACTAGCATAACCAATGGGCTTGAATTTAAGTTCTAGGTATACAGACATGGTCAATAACTTCACTGCTCTTATGGTCATTCCTAGCCGATCTAGATTAGTGAGAGTCCAATATGACTTCCGGACATCAGGTGTTTTGATATCAAAATGCGTAAGCTTACAAATCTTCTAGAGAATACTTATATCATGCATAAGATAAGGTTGAGACAGAGAGTTGTTTGTACATGAAAAATCTTGAAGTCATAACAAATGGGTTGAAATGTTGCAGCTTTTACATTGTTCATTGGGCTGACCTTCCCTTTCTTTGGCGATCTTCTTGGGTTTTTTGGCGGATTTGGTTTTGCTCCAACAGCATATTTTGTAAGTCTGATCTATGTATCTTCCTCTGCAATTTCCTCACGCTTCTGTTAAATCACCCAATAAAACAAGAACTGATTCAAAGCCTAAAACTTGATTATAATCTGACCTATCATCAACCTGTTTCAGCTTCCAAGCATAATGTGGCTTATAATCAAGAAACCAAGGAGACTCAGCACCAACTGGTTCATCAACTGGGTACAGATTAAAAATTTGCAGAAGCATCTTTCCCTTCACAAAGCATCAATTTTTTTTTTTTTAAAAAAAAGCACAAGTCAAATGCACTGATTCTTAGCTTTCGTGTTCGTGTTTTTTCAGGCCGCAATATTCATAGGAGTGTGTATTATGTTGGCATCCACAATTGGTGGCTTCAGGAATATTATTGCTGATGCCTCCACATATAGATTCTACACTTAATCACCTTAATTAGTATTGTAATCCAAGAATATGTCAACTGTAATTAGTTAACTAATCTGCTTCGTTAAGCTGCTTTTGCTAATGACCTTTTTTTTTTATTTCTTAAGAAGAAATTATTAAGTTTAGCTTTTAGTGAGTACTATCAGGTTCTTGGGGAGAATAATTACATGGTCATGAACTCTATCACCAGAGTTGATAGTGTGATGTTGAAATATAAAAATATTTACATGTGAAGCTTTCTCTAAAAACTTCAGAGTTTGTCTTCTGCACAAAACTTGACGATTTTTTCTTGCCCTTTTTTTTTTATTCGGGTAACAGAAATGTGAACTTTATTGACAAACACAAGCATGCATGAGAGCAGTCTTTTAACTTTTTGGCAAATGGTACTATATATATGAGGACATTTTTTAATATATTTAAATGGCTTGATATTATTATGAAAGTTTAGTGAAATAAGTCAAACTTTAATTCAAAAAAACTATTTGTGATAATTTTTTTAATTAGATTATTTTTTTTAGTCAAGATGGAACTTGGCCTAACTTAAATCTTAATTATTCAACCAAGAAGACAATGACCTCTTTATCTCTATTTTTAACCTTCTTTTTTAAGTAACTTCAACTGTCACATCTCAGAACCTTTTCTTTTTGAAATAACAGGGTTTGAAAAACAAATTAGCATGAAGGAAAAAAAAAAAAGAGGGTACGATATTCACTCATTCTATCTTCATATAATTTATTAATTATTAATTATATTTAAATTTATTAAAAACAAGCCATGCTAACTAATTTTCTAAATAGAAACACATTATATGTTGGAACCGGTTAGTAAATTTAAAGTTTAAGTCATGTCAAGAACGCTATCTTTAAAACTATTTTGTCATACTGAGTTATTTGCATGGCAGTTTTCAAAATTAAACAGGCTCATTTTGCAAAACAAGTAGGATCATAGAGCAACAAAGACTAACAGATTTACTCAGCAACATAATAGAGAGGAAAAACTCAAGAATTGAAGAGCTGTGCCACAAACAAATTGCTTTCCCAAACTATATATAGGCACAGCACATGGACGACCTTAGCAAAGTATTTAGACATTGGTTTAAATAGCACATAAAGTACCTTTATTTGGACGTTTTTGAAAGTTGAGAAAGTAATGGCAATTAAATATTGTTTAAAGCCATTAACCCATTTAAGTATTGAATAAAAAACTCCTCATCAATAATATGCTTCATAAACTTACAATTTAAACACAATAAACTGTGGTTTTTATGAGTGGCCAAGGAGATAGTTAATTTAATAATTTTGCAAAAACAAATTGATAAAAAAAAACTCAATGCCTCTTCAACTCATGCATAAGAGTGTTCAAATCCACTTTTCCTTCAAGCCCACACTAACCCACCTTCATTTCTTAACATATAAACATTAGGAGTTCTCATCATGTGGGCAATGTGAGATTTCTTCTTTTGAGGTATTGATACAATAACTATAACATTATCTACAATATGGAAGCATTTAAAAGCATCACTTTGATGAATTGTGATGAAGTTCTGATAAAACATATAGTATAATTTCAAAATAAAAATGAAATAATTATGAGAAGCTAAATATTTAGAATGCATATACTTATTTACATAATTTTATTACACATACATATATTTTGTGTTCAGTTTTCTTCCCAATACTTGTTAGAAACTATGCATAAATCATAACTTAAAAATATAATTAAAATAAAAAAAATCTAAAACAAAATTAAAAAAATTGATTATTTGAACTAATTGAATATTTAATTTTATTGATTGTAAGCCATTCATCACTTGTTTTTTTTTCCTTTTAATGGATATATGTTATAATCATAAGTTTAAAGGAAATACTTAACTCAAAACACTAACATGGTAAATGGGAGGGTGCTTTAAATTTATAAGCCATATTTTTTTGCAAGGTATTTTTGATGTAAGGCTTATAATAATGCACCCCATTCAAGAATCAACGATTCCACTCCACAATATTTTTTTTAGTCTCATGCTTGATGGCATATCAATGAAAATACCAATGTTACGAATCCATCTCAAAAGACTAACTTACTTAGTAGGATAGCTCATTGAATTTAAAAAATAATAATTATTTGGTCCATGTACTTTTAACTTAATTGTAACTTAGTCATTAATCTTTGACCTGTTATAACTTAATTTTTATAGTTTTAACTTGATAGTAACTTAGTTTTTGAACTTTGCTTCTTGTAGTTCAACCCTTATAGTTTCTATCACTTAAATATCGGTCCCTATATTTTTAAAAATAAAATTATAAATGTTAAAAATATTTTAAAATTTTAATATTTATAATTATAATATTTATAAATATTAAAAGGGTTTAGTAATATGAAATATTTGTAATAAATTTTAAAATAATTTTGATCTTTATAATTTTATTTTTTAAGATATAGGGACCAATATTTAAATGGTTAAAATTATAAGGGTTGAATTTAGAAACTAAGTTACAACTAACTTAAAACTATAAGGACTAAATAATTAATTTTTTTCTGAATTTATAAATCTCTATGCAGGCCATAACAATATAAAACTTAAAATATAAAAGATTTTTTTATAAACAAAATGTAAAGGATTATTTAAAAAATAAAGTTTAAGGGAGATATGATTAATGATGTATTCTTCTATGTGAGTGAAATAATTGAGTAATTAATGCTAGAAAATTATTTGCATAAATTTAAAATTTACTTTATAAGTTTTAAAACAATGATAAAAAAAATAATTTCACCAAATCAATTGCCTCAATTGAAAAAAAAAAGTGCATTAACAAACTAGCCAAGAGGGTTTTCATTGACCCTACTGTCATTAGTGAAATCAATGACATCTTCATCACCTTAATCCCAAAAATGAAAACCTAATTTGCATGAAAGACTTTCATTCAATATCTTTATGCAACGTGAGCTACAAGATAATCATCAAGATCTTCTCTAACAGGTTGCAACAATGTATGAACCACTTAATTGAGGATAATCAATGTAGTTTTTTTATAAGGAAGACAAAGTAGCAATAATATCATCATCGCTTAAGAAATCATTCACTCTGTAAGAAACAAAGTTAGGAAAAAGGACTTTATGGCCCTCAAGGTCAATCTTGAAAAAGCTTTTGATAAACTTTTTTGGAATTTTATTGATGATACTCTCCATATTATCAAGATCAATGAGCAATTTAGGAAGCTCATCATGGTAGCAATCTCAATCACATGAATGAGAGTCATTTAGAATGGAGAACCAACAAGTAAATTCACTCTGACATGTGGCAGGGGATCCTCTTTTACCTTATCTTTGTTTTCTTTATATTAAACATTTAAATCATAGTATTCTTAGTAGCATTGATAAAAAAAGATTGGAAGTCCATTAGCCTAACAACTAATGGACCTTTTATCTCATATTTATTTTTTACTAATGACTTGTTGCTTTTTGTAGATTCATCTCTTAAACAAGCAAGGATTATCTAATAATATCTCTCTAATTTTTGCGAAGCTTCATGACAAAAAGTTAGCATTGCCAAATCCAAGCTTTTTGACTCCAAGAATGTCAATATTAATAGAGCTATATAGATTAGTGAAGAATTAGAAATTATCCTGAGTGAAAATCTCTCTAAACTTACTTTTGCTCCATTCCTTGATAAAATGAGCTTATGTCTCTCTAACTGAAAGAGTCATTATCTTAACACAATTTGAAATTGTACTTATAAAGTCTGTCATCTATTTCTAGCTATGCCATGCAGATTATACTCCTATACCTAACAATGTCCTAACAGAAATGGAATCTTACTCTTGTAACTTCTTTTGGAACTCAATTGATGGCACCAAAAAGCCACATCTCTTATCTTATCTTGGGACTATATCACTAAAGATAAAAATTATGGATGTCTTGACTTCAAAAAGCTTAAAAGTCAAAACAAGGCATATATTATGAAGCTCTATTAGGGAATTATCATAAATCCTAACTACCTCTAAGTTCATGTCCTGCATGACAAGTATAAATGTAATAATCTTAATATACCATGGTTTATAAAACCAACTCTTGCTCCTACAACTGGTTTAGTATTTGTAGAGTTTAAGAACAATTCATATCTTATGTGGGTTGGAAGGTATGGGAATGGGGGTTAAATATCTTTCTGGTAAGACAAATAGTCACCCCTTTCTTATACGCATCACCTAATCTTGATTCTATTCTTCATGCTAAAGTTTTATATTTCTGTTCTATTGGTGGCAATTGGAAGGTAGCTCAATTACACTGATATCTTCACCTGGATATCACCAATCTTATTACAATTATTAAACCTCTAAATCATAATGCAGATAAAGATGTTATCTGTTGGAGGCCTTCTAATGGTGGTAACTTCACCATCAAATTTACTTATGAGGCTATTGAAAATCATGGAAATAACACCAACTTTAAGATTTAATTTAAGATTTGGGAGTCACTAGCTTCGAGATTTAGTCTAAGATTTAAAAGTGGCCCACTAATGAGAAGATTAAACTTTCCTTTTGAAAGCGACTTGGGATCATCTCCAACCTAAATTCACCTACTCTAACAGAGATAATTCTTGTCTTAGGACATGTTCCTTTGATTGTAACTTATTAGATTCAGCCGTTCATATGTCAAGGGACTATAAGAAATTTAAAGAGGTTCAACTAAAATTAGTTAAATAATCTAAACAAAATACTTTCTTTTCTCTTCCTCATAAGAATGGATGTTTGGGATGCAAAGAAAGATGTGGGTAATCCAAGTGCAAGAAAAACTTCTTAGCAAAGACTCTTCATCCACATGTGTTGGAAAAGATGCAAAAACATCAACTCTAAAGAAAACACACTTAATAGAGACATTACTTTACTAGCATCTAAGATATTCTTAGTGATCTCAATCTTTAATCAAGACTTTATTGTTTGTTGCTACATGGTGATGGATCAAAAGTAAAATAGTGCTAAACTGAAAAGGATGGTTTAGACTTGATATTGATAACTCTATAGACAACCATAGTATAGTTGCTTGTGGCGAGCTCATCTGAGATGATCAAGGAAATTAGATGAAAGACTTCTCTAAATATCTTGATTATCACCCTAACACAACCATTGAACTCATGGATATCCTTAAAGGTCTTATTATTTGTTAGACTGAAACATTTGACAAAGCAAACGTATACTCTAACTCTATAGAAGGACTTATACTAATCTGAAGTGAGTTCTCTACAAATAATTTGTAG